TTTCACTCCCCGAGAGAAGGATCTTATTTGCATCGGGCGAGTCGAGCACCGCGGGGCTGTGCCTCGGCCAGAAATTAGTTTCGCAAGAGAGCAGTCAGCGGCAGCCCCTTATGTACAACGCGCGAGCGACGAAATGTATAATGCGAGTTCGGGTAACGCCGAGTTATGCAACCGGCGGCGCACATCCATCTGGCTGCCGCCGGCGCAAAACTTCATTACCGCGGGCGCATTTTAACTTAATGAGCCACGGCGTTATATTACTTTATTCGCGTGTATTACTATTATTATTATTATTATTATTACCGGCCGGGGCTTATTGCTCGGCAATTCGCACGCCGCATTTGTTTATCCGCACTCAAACCGGTCGTAAATTCGCAATTACAAAACGCCTGCCGCGTTTAATCACCGTATTATCAGAGACGCGCGCTCGCATTGGTATTAATTTTGGCACGAGGGATGGCTCGCAAATTCGGTGCTTTAATGAGGTTTTACAAAATCATCTTGTGTAATGGCTCATTTTAAATTGTGTCTTAAAGCTCTTTTCTTGTGCTTTAAATAGTGGAATACTCTTCGTTCATTGTGGAAGAAGATTTTCGATGGCACAAATCGGAGCAGTCATTGCAGATTTTAAAGGATAATAGGCTTGCAGGAATTTTAAGAACTGACTATGGAAAATTAATATATTAACTTTTTTATCTTGTTATATTATAATATAAATATTTAATTTTTAATTTTTAATGAACATTATTTTTATACTGTTTATTGTTTGAAAAATGTAATATATAATTAATTTTTTTTAAAGTATAGAAAGAATTGAGACTTCCAATATCCCGCAATATCCAATTGAAAGACTGTTCATAAAAGTTTATTCTTACTGGTTGGAGTTGTTCACAATGTCAAATTGTTCATTGAAATTGGATTAAGAATCCTTTAGATTTGATATAATTTGATGGTTAATTTGTAATTAATTTATTATCACATTTGCATCAACTCCAGTAAAAAAAATATGGTACTTATGTTTAAAGTATTATTTTGCCAAGTTCCCATGATAATTGTAAGTGCAAATGATTTTATTTTTGAGCACACACATTTTCATATTCAATTTTGCCGAAAAGGATAAAAAATAATTGCACTTACAATGGTACTCTTTTGTGCTAATGATGTATTTGTTTAAATGTATAATGGGGGTTTGCATATTCAATATTTATACAAAAAATTCCTGCAAAGAGAAAAATAGAAAGAAAAAATATATATTAAAGGAGAACAACTTTTTTGTGATCCTTTTCCTGGAAGATTAAAAGAGAGAAACTAGCAGCGCAAATGAGGCAAATAAGACAATTACATCACTACATCGAAACAGTGCACGAACGCTATGCGGATTAAGCAGTTTTCCGAGCAGCACAAAACATGCAGACTAATTCTTGTGTGTAATTCAATTGGGGCCGGCATGCAGACGGGCAGACATTCTTGAAACCACACTCTGCTCCTTGCTAGAGACAAGTAATTCCAGCCGGTCGTTAAAGTGGATGATTATCACTTTTTCCAGATCCCAACCACCCCACTTTGCAGAGATGCGAACCAGAGCAGATTTCGCAGAAGTTAGATAATTATTTTCTAGGCAAAAATAATATTTAAAAAAAAAACAATTACTTTTTAAATTAAAATTTATGTAATTTTCCTATAACTTTGACAGATTTAAAATAGTTCCAGCATTAAATATCTTCTGCGTTCTTTGATGCAGATTTCTGGAAATAGTTGAACAAATGAAACCGACAGAACCAAATAAATTTTTATCAAAACTGGTAAAATTTTAAAGCATAAATTAAAGACATTTATTACCAAAAATTTACCTGCTAATGTCATAATTAATACATTATTTGCTTAATTAAGTCACCAGAGCAGGACAAAATTAATTCAGCTGCAAAGTATTCGCGTTGCTTTGCACACAGTAATAAATAATTCACAAATTCTGTGCCGCGCACACGCCTGCCGAGCCCACATTCATTACAAAATCCAGCCACTGCTGGGAGAGCGAGCAGTATATGTGTGGTTTAATGAACATTTTAATTTTTTATTACCTGTGCAATGCCGGTGCTTTACATTGCGCTCAAGTACATAATGCGAACGGAACACACACACTGCGAAAAACACACGCGCTGCAGCTTTTTGCATTATAATATGCGCGCACAAATCCCCGCGAAAGTGCACCTCGCTCGAGCGAGCAATATCTGCATAATGGGTCGGTGTGATGCACCCTGAGAGCCAGAGAGAACCGCCCGCAATTAAACGAGAAGTGAGAGAACCAAAGCTGTATGTGCATAAAAGCCATGGCTCTGTGCAACTAATTGTGCTCTCCCCATGAAAATTATTCCATTTATTGCTGAAGGGCTGAGGATTACTGCAATGTGCAGGGTCTCAATTTAAAATTTTGATTGGCAATTGGAAACTATTGCGTGGAGTGTTATGATCTCAAGCAGAATTGATATTTCTTTCAATAATAAATGTGACTGTAACAATTTTGGCAATTTTACATCAATATAATATTTAATGAAACATATTTATGTCCCCAGGATAATAAATAATGAACTCGATTGTTAATTTGAATAATATCATGATAATTATAATTTTAGTTTTTGCAATATAAATTTACTTTCCTGTACAAGATTGTGGCAGAATGACAAAATAATATATGATATAAAAAAATATTATTTACTGAAAAAAATTTTTAAGTAGTATTTTTGATTATATTTTCTCTTTATTTGAATTTTTTTAAAGGCGAATCAAATATCAAATTTTGTTTTATTTTATTACATTTTAAAGTTAAAAATATTTATTTACATTAGATCTGAATGACTTTATGCATGCTATTCATTAAAAGTACATTATGTAATGTATAATGCAAAAAAATATATTTAAACTGTATACTCACCTTTTTTGGCACGTACTTGATTTGATCATCACTTAAATAAACAATTATCAGCTGGTTGCTTAGACTGCTTTTATCATTGATTCTGATTGATTATGAACGCCTGAAGTATTACTGATATAAATATAAAATGTTAATATTTTCACATTTTACATCAAACCAAAATAGTGTTTGTCCTGTTGAACAATCTTCTTAAATTTAATAATAAAATGTTGTGGAATTATTATTTTTATCTCGGATTTAAGAAGAAAAAGTCAACATTGCAACCCTTTTTCTGTGTCAGAAAATCACTATTAATCATGGAATAAAATCATGAAAAAATTGTAGTTTAATTTACAAAGAGAAACGCGTCCACGGACTATAGATTAAAACTGCTCCATAGCAGGGCGGTGTATAAAAAGCAATGCGATTTACCACAGCTCGTTCTGAATCCACAAAGAGAAAAAGTCAACACTGACCTACCCACGATCGTTTTCAAAGGACAGAGCATATTGAATCCTCTCACAGCAGCTGGACTGAAACGCATTTGAATGCGCTTTAGTACAGCCATGCATACTACTCTGCATCCGACAGTTTATCGTCCTCTGCAGAACAAAGCGAGGAGAGCGTCGTCCAGTGCAAAGTGAGCAAATAAAGGAAACTCGCACGCAAAATAATGTCTTTGATCTGCCGCTGAGTAATTAGAGCGGCTGAAAGTCGCGCCAAATGATTGTGTAACGAGCAGTGTCAGTTGGTTGACCGCTGGATATACAATTCACAACTCGTGAGGATCAAAATAATTTGCAGACCGCAAACTATTTCAATGGGATTTTGTCGGAATTTATTGGGCTTCAAAATGTGTTATGAGGCGCGTCCGTCCGAATTAATTAAGCCGAAGCAGTAAATTTTGTGTAATCTGATGCATTTTAATTAAATAGGAGGAAGTTGCGAGAAATGCAGCCATGTCTTGAGTATGTGAGACAGCTAAATTAAGCGGCTTTAGATTAGATAAATTGTTGACTTGTGGCGTACAAGCCTAGAACAAGAAGGCAGAGGGGCAGACGTGAACCTGTTGCGGAAGATTTATCGAGATTGTGGCGCCTTCGTGACGAATAAGCGTCACCTTTGAACATTTGCCCCCTTAATAAGAAAATAAAAGGGCAAACAATTGCCATTTTACACCTTTTTTTTTGACAAAATTTTGTTTTCCCCTCTCTGCTATAAAGGTCTCCATTAGAAAGAAAAAGCAAAAGTTGATTTATAGGTAAAAATTAGTTTTTAAGCTTTTCAGATGGATTTTAAGATAAAATACTTTTTGGATTGTTTCTAATGAGCCAATTTTAAGCACGATTCTACTACTGAATTTAATTGACTATTAATAAAATAAATTTTTCACCTTAATTTAAACATAACAAAAATTCAACTTGCACTGCATATTTTCATTTATTTCCTTTGTACATGTTATTTTTTGCATTGTGTCAATATTTATTTTTAAAATGTAATTTACTTTCTAACATTTACTCATTCAGATCAGAGATAATCATGTGTTTGAGAATATATGAAAATAATAAAAAAATCTTGGCCATTCATATAAATTTATTAAAAAAAAACTATAAAAGAAAAGTTATCTTAAGTTCGCATGCATAATTAATAACACATTTTTACTTTCATATTATTTAAATATATTTTATTCCACATCAGTTCCACATAACTTTTGATTTAGAATCTGAACAAACACAGAAGTTCTACCAAGCATACAAAGATTCAAACGCTCTTCCGCTCAAGTACTCTCCAGAGAATTTTGAAACCGTTCAAAGCAACTCTCAGTGGAGATTTGCTAGCAAATTTACGCACTACAAAGAACGTGGTGAGCAGCATGTGTACACATTTTAGCTTTGAACATACGGGGGTGATATTTCATCGATTTCATTAGGCGTCGGTCGTAAATTACGGAGCTTGTTGCGCAATGAGCACCGGAATTAACGACAACTAGAAAAGCGTCTGACTTTTGAAAACACAGCGCACGTGTCTCCTGATAATCCGCTCTCGTTAAATAAAACAGCGGCGTCTCATTATCGATTTCGCTTTGTTTCAGTTCAACTTCGTTGGAAAACTGCTCGGACCAAAAGGCAACTCGTTAAAACGGCTGCAGGAGGAAACAATGACGAAAATGGCCATCCTCGGCAGGGGTTCCATGAGGGACAAACAAAAGGTGAGAACTTATATTTAACAGGTGAAATAGCCTCTTCTATGTTATTTTACGATTTTTTGTTTATTTTAGAGAAATTAAAATTTCTTCTAAAGAAAAAAGAATAATGTAAAATTTTTCTACCTAAAAATCTATAGTTTTGAAATATTTCTCACCAATTTCACTAATTTGAATCACTAATCAACTTTTTATTATTTGATCCATTTCTCAAAACTGTTGCTTGCGACTATTAAAGGGTTTACAATCAAAATAATTCTCGAATTAACCCATTTGCGGCATTTATGGCTGACTAAGCATTTTTTGCGGAGTTAAACATGGAAAACTTGAATAATCTTTATTTAGCTAAAATAATAGAGAAATTAGTGTAACTTAATTACTTAAACTAACAATACGCAAATCTGGGCACTAGATATTTAGATGCAAAATAATAATTTTAATTAAAAAATAGTTAAATATATTGTGATAATCTAACTATGCAATCCCAAAAAAAAGTATAATATTCTGATTTTTAAAATCATGCAAATATTAAGAATATGATTTCCACTTGGTATTTTTAAATTCATGATTTCAGACGGTTTTTACTGATTAAGACGGTTTTATTTGGGTGTAAGTCGCCAGTAATGTCATTATTCATGGAGATTTAATCAATATAGTTCTTTTCAAAGCTCGGGAAAAACTTCTGAACTTCACAGTCTTTAATTATTTTTAGACCACACGGCAGTGGAGAGGCTTTCGTTTTCACTTTTTATTTCTCACACCGGCACGCACTCGGCTTGTTTATCTTCAAGTTTAGCACGTGCGACCGCGCCCGAGTGCAAGAATAAATAGTAGGGCTTTGTGTGCTCGCCAAGTGTGAATTTGATTGTGACAATAATAAAAAGCGACACGCATTCGGCTGGAAGTGCGAGTTGGTGAACGTGTGCACCAGTAATTTTACTTTCGGCGTCAGCGAGCGAGCGAGCGAGTGAGCCAGAAGGTCGCAATCTTTGCCGCCTCTGAACACATATGCAGAGAGAATAGTTCGCTCTTTTTATCGTACTTTCTGTCAAAGGTGTCGCAGCTGCTCTTTGAATAATGTAATTTGCACCACTAGGGACACAATTTGCACTTCATTGCACTGTTTCTTGAAAACAAGATTTGAATTGGCAGAATCTGGGGAGAATTGACAACAAGAGAAAAGAGAGGCTCAGAATTTAATCATGCAATTTGGTACATAGATACAATTAAATTTCGAATTATATTTCGTATTTATATTTTTGTTGATTATTCATGCATTTTTACAATCATATTGTTTATAATCTACAAATTGCAAAGCAAAACTGCCAAAGATTTTGATGAACCTTTAGACCCCCTCCACCTTGAAATTTTAAGTGATTTTATAAATAGTTCTTAACAAAGTGGCAAAATAAGTATTTATATTATTCATCTTAAGTTTATCTTACAAAGACATGAAAGAACTCCGACAAAACAATTTGTGGAAGGACTCTTTTATTTACGCACTGTTCATAGGGCAATTCATTTTAATACATGAGAGCTATTTCCACATGGGGCTGCGCACCCATTTCGCAAGTGAACAAATTGCATATTTATTTTAATGAAAGACGTTATAAGAAAAGCGTCATAAAATAAGACATGGCTCTAAATTAATTCACGGGTTGGGTGGAGAATTCTCGCGAGATGTCTCCGAAAAGCTTGACATACAAACGCACCCAGTTATTATTACTTTTTTTTCCTTCATAAAAGAGGAAGAAAAGAAAAGAGTGGCGTGCCACAGGCCAATCTATTACCCCGGCAGTCATAACACAGACTGCTGGGTATTATTTCGTTTTGCGCCGGATCGAGTTGCTGCTCGCGACGACGGCATGCATCCTCCGATGTCGTCATCCCAGTCCTTCCTCATTTGTGTGTAGTTGGTGGCGGTGGCGCCGCCTGTTACGGCCTATCACTAATGGGGCGCCCTTTTTTGATTGCTCCGTCGTTAATTGCCAAAGTTGGCCCTCAAAGGCTCCAACCATTAGAGTTTGACGAGAGAATTTCCACCCTATCGAACAAACTTGCCCGCATTTTCAATCGTAGGCCAATCATAGTAACAACAAAGTGAAACAGGAGATCCTCAATTTCACCCACCATGTATCACATATTAATTAAATTACTCGACAGTGATTCATGTTATTTGGTAAGTTTGTTAAGTTTTTAAGTATAAATTTATTGATTCTCTCTTTGAATACATCTTACTGTTGTTAAATTAATTATAAAGTTAAAAGTTCTTGACGAGCTTGTAGATGACTGAACTTTTCATTTGCATTGTGAGCACGCAATGAAATAGAAGTCACAAAAAAATTATCTTTCAGATGTGGGGAAGACATTAATTTATATAATATAGTTCAGAAATTTTAGGGAAAAGTTTTCTAGCTTTTAAAAATTTCTGTCATGTTATCTAAATAAATTGTTTACATCTTTGCCACATTAAACGTAGATTTTATTTACTAAATGAAATTGAATAATTCTTATGTAAAACAAGAAAAGAAAAATTAAAATAATCTGCAGTTGACTAATTTATTAGGAGACCTCTTTCAACGTTTATATATACTTACCAAAAAATTCACCTTAGAAACCAATTTTGAAATAAATTCAAATGTGCTTCAATGTCCATCAGAGTTTAGAGCCAAAGAGTAGATCATCAGCTACACTACTTATTTTTCTGCAAGTTTACTTTTCTCTTCCAAATTTTTGGAATTTGAAAAAGGCATTTTTTTTTATTGATTATAATATTTTTATTTATAATAACTCCGATCAAATTTGCTGAATGTCATTCCTGTTTACTTTCAATTCGACCAAATTTATGTAAACCTATTGAAGAAAATCCTGCTTGCGATCCCTGCAACCCTATTACACATTTTTTTATTGAATATATGCCAGGATATTGCTCGTGCAGTGCACAAAATGTTATCTTTTTGCGAGGGATGAGCCGGCTCGGATTGAAACGAATGCCGCGCAGCCGAGGCATAAAACCATCTTATTTGCAAATTACGCCAAGCTCAATATTGATTTCTGGCTGCAGGGCGGCCGGGACGCAGGCCACGTTACCACCCCAATATTACACACACATACAGAAATCACACATGTGTCTGCGGGGTGAGCCCGACGATGTGTCGAGAGACACGCCTCGGGCGCTTGTTATTACAATCCCGCGCGTCGCGTTTGCCGCAGATGCGATGCCCCACATCCCCCTCCTCCTCCACCGATGCACATTTCACTTTAATAAGATATCAATCCGCGACACCGCACCAGCTTTATTTGCATGTTCCGCCGCCGCGCCGGGATTACCGGCGACGAGCAACCCCCTTCCTCTCCAAGCCTTCTCGAGAATCTGGAACACTTGCCACGAATCATTCAAAACTTTCCTCCTCATCTGATTTGGATGGAACGATAACTGTTCTGGTCAATTCTGATGATATCTTATTCCGGAGGCTAAAGTGTTTCGAGGTTCAATTAATCTATTGTTTTTTTTATTCTAAAAATAGATTAAAAAAAAATTGAGTTACAAATCAAATAAAACTACAATATTGATTTGAAAGGGATACTGATTTTTTTTAAATCCTAGGAGTTTAAATAGTGACTAATTTTTGTCAATAATTTATTGTCCTTATTGTTAGAACAAAAATTCTAGCAGTGAAAACTGATTATTTTTTAATTTTACCAAAATTAAATTGATCAATTTGAAATTAGTTGTTTTATCACGAAACTAAAAATGATATGTCAGGAGTTTGAAAACGTCTGAAATGATCAAGAATATGCAATTTATTGATTTATTAATTTGATTCGCGGGTTGCCTATTATAACTGGCGATTAATCGCTAAAATTTTGGAAACGCCCTGGCCTAGCTCATGCACAAATTTCATAAAATTTGGAGGCAAACAGAGGCGTCGTCTGGAACACTCTTGTACAAGAGCTTTAATCGCCAAAGCTGCTGTTCAAAATCAATGGTGGTGAGAGACGTCGAACGCACGCACACACACACACACACACCTTCCTACCTCTCTACATGTGTTTGCGTCTCCGTGTCATTAGCCACGTAGATGCTCTTTATCTCCTGTTCTATGGCTATAGACAGGGCTAGACAATCCATGTCAACCTTAAAGGTTTGAGGATTTTAGGCACTATTTTTTATCCCCACCGACCTTGGATTAATAAATAATAAAATTATAATAATTTAACAAATGGTTTGTTGTTCACCACAAGTTAAATTAAAATTTAATATCCCGTTTAAAATAACGAAAATAATAAATTCATTGATGGTCAAATAATAAATTTCTCTTTTATTCATTTGCAAGTGCATGTCGAAAATAAACGGCTTAATAATGCAGCGTTTTATAATAATTATAACGTGTTTATACTTTTATTTTAATTTTATATAATTTTTATTATGTTTTACTTATTTATTAATGTCATAATCCGAAATTTATTTAATAGATTATTATTAATATTTTTAATTTTTTTCCAATTTTTAATTTCTTTGAATCTTTACTAGAAAAATTAGTGTGTAAAGAAGAATTATAAAAAATAATTTACCTATACTTGACCCGACTTGACCCAATTATTGTGTGGTGATCCTAAACATAATTTGAAATTTTTACCTTCATAAACTGTTGGATGGTGTGTTGGATTATTAAATTGATATTAATGAGAGACCAAAATATATTTTATTTTATTTAAATTTTTATTTCTTAAAAGATCATTTAATACATTAATAGCCCAGATTAATAGATTAACATACTATACTCCTACCAATATTACTGTAAAACTGAGAGGAATATTTACTTTGACTTGAGCAATTCAGAAGTTCTCAATAATAAATCAAGTTCTTACAATTTTGAGACACTAGTGATAGACTAAAATACGCAAACCAACAAATAGAAGAAGCACATGTGGAAATATCGGCGAACTCACAGATTGTTGTCTCCGGTGCGCTGACTATGCGCTCGGAATTTTTATCAGATGCCAAAGTTTGTTTGTATTCGAGTCGCGAGCGGGAAGAACTCTTAAAATTTACTTTGCGAGTGGATGTAAAAGTTTTGGTGGAGAGCGTTCAAGAGAGGCGAAATAATGGAATATGGTTGACCCTTTTTTCCAAGATTAATGGCAACAACGAATAGAGCGAGGATTTGAGTTGTTGCATGAATTCGCTAACAAGTGATTAGCATGCGATGATTTTATGCGAATGTTTGGGTTGATGCTTGGTGTGAGTGTAGGACGCGCATTCTGCAGTTGTTTCTCGCCTAATCGATGGCATGGCGCGCTTGAGTGAAGCAGTTTGCAATTAAGAGATTATGCGATGCGGGTAGTCAAGACGTGCTAGTGCTGATGCTGCTTCTAACCGGTGATGATAATGGATGTTCACATAGATTTCAGCGTGATAATCGGCTTACGTTTAGCAACTTAAAACAATTTATTTCTTACCGAAATGTTAAATGATTTATTTTATTTTATAATAAAAAAAAAACATTAGGACAAACATAGCTAAATATTTAAAACTTAATATAAAATCAATATTTATGTATTTTTTTTATATCTATTTTATAGGTTTAAAAAAAATAAAGTTTGGTTGTTGTTGAATAAATTTAATACAATATACTTATAAAAATAAAATTAGTAAATTCAAATGTTTGAATAACAACATTGCCTACATATTAAATACTAAAACTTGAATATATAATTTATATCCACATGTTTTACAATCCAAAAATTAATATAAATTCTAAACTCGGGAATGATGAGGTTTAATATTTAATGAATCTTAATATTATGATTCCAGCGCTATTGAGCAATAATGATGAACTACTTTGAATGTAGTTCATACTTGTGATTGATTGACATTTAATTGTTTAGTTAGTAATACAGATTTTGTGCTATACTTAATTACTTTTAAATATATATTACAAAATTCATGCTACTAAAAATATGCTTTATGGATCTGAATTTTTCCTTATGAATTTTGATGTTTTCAACATAAGAAATAAAAGTTTTAATTTTTCTTTATTAAAAATTTCTTACATTTCCTGCATGTGTCAACAATTTATTACTGCTCAATTCAGGAAGATTCGTGTTTAAATTACAAGAGTGAGTTATGAAAAAGAACTATTTCTGAGTTTCTACTCTTTGGTCTTGGTCTAATGGAATTTTGAAGATTTCAAGCTTTTCACGGACATTTAGCGATTCTGTTTATATCCTCAAAGGTATTTGCATACTCCTGCCGTTTTCCTCGAAGCACTTCTCCGACTATACATACGCGGCAATCAGGATAAATTGATTATCTAGATTCAAGCCACTCACGTGCAGCGTCATGTGAGACGTGTGTGTTGTGCTTTGAGTACCAATAAACACAAAGTACCGGCAAAGCAGCCAAGTGGCAGTGCTGAGACGCTTTTAAGCGGCGACGACAACCTGTGCTTAAGAAGATGAGTTGAGGCTCAAATTACCAATGGAGGAATTTAATTAACAAAGAATTTAGTCACAAATAGAGGAAAATACAGGAAAATGTTTGCGAAAATTGATCTAATTTAAAATGAGCAATTTGAAAATTTTTAATCTAATTTTATAATGTTCTGTTTCCAGGAAGAAGAGTTGCGAGGGTCGACAGATCCAAAATTCTCCCACCTCAACGACGACCTGCACGTGGAAGTGACGGCTTTCGCGCCGCCCGCAGAAGCGCACGCCAGAATCGCGTACGCTCTCGCCGAAATCCGAAAATTCCTGGTTCCAGTGAGTATCTCTTGAAATTAACCCTCTGATATTATTCGTTATTCATCTGCAAACACTTGCACGCGGACAATGCCCGGTGCTTTTCGGAGTGTTTGCAATTCGTTAGGGAGAGAAAGAGAGAGTCGACGGATCGTTTTTTAATTGGCCTCGTCTTTTGTGACGTGTGAGTGTGCGCGGCGAGCAAGGATTTTTTTTCACTTTTTCAGCTTTATTATTGGGTAATCGCGTGCATTAAACGTCGGCACGAAAGTTTCTGAAATTACATCGCAATGGGGGGGGGGGGGGGGGAAGGCATATTTTTTTATGGATCGATTTGCAAAAAAAAACAAGTAAAGCGTGCACAGAGGGTTGTCACGATAATTGATACCTTGACAGATTTCATTTTCAAACCTATCAATACGCGAATTTATGTCTGCGGAAAATTATTGTTTGGATTTTTTTTCGTCTGGCATTTGTTTGGTTTTCTATTTAAGGGGTGATTTTATTAAACGCCATTGTGCAAGAGAAATATTTTCACCGCGGGGAATTTGTTCGGCGCTGGGTATGATTTCGATATAAATCTGCTGTTAAATGGCAGGTTTTTAATTGCGCCGTCAGACGCACTTTCACCAAGCCGGAATGGGTTTTTAATTAAAGGGCGCGCGATCAGAGTTATTCTCCCGCTCAAGAAATGTTTTATTTTTCGTGGTTTTTTGTTTGCAAGCGGGTGATTATTTTTGTGTATGGGCAAAAAAAAATAATTGTTCTCTAAATCAAAAACCTCACTGAACTTAAATTTTCACGATCTTGTCTCAAGATTATTTTTATTACTTACTATAATTGTTCAAAAAGTACTACTAAAGATAAACTGCCAAGCAATGTTTCTACATCACTACTGTGCAGCTCTAGGATGCTTCGTAATTCTCAAAACAAAGACAGAAAATGATGAAAAATGTTTCATTAAAATTGATTTGTTTGCAAATTTTGGAAATATTTTATTTTGCTTGCGAGGTTGATTTCCTTTTATTTCTATTTTTTTTTTGTCGTAAATATTTAGTATTGATTATATATTTCATTCTCATTTTTATTCTCATAGTTATAAATATAGTCTGGATAGGAGTTTAATTAATGTCCATTTGAACTCACGCAACTAATATGCCATATTAATTATGAATAATGTACTTCATACAAGATAATTAGATACTGGAAAAATTTGATATTAACAGCTAACTATTTAACTGAAAATAAATTTTCATGAAATATGTTTCATAATAATATAAAAAAGTACCGTTAATAAATTATTACAAAATGTTAATTATTTTAATTAAATTTTGCAAGCTGTGTAATTGACAGAATAAAAATTAACTCGTAAAATGCAAATGAATGAATGTTTGTCTAAACCAGTCTAAATAAATTAAACAAAAGCTTTCTTTGTCTGACTAATTTGCAGGATTACAACGACGAAATTAGGCAAGAACAGATGCGGGAAATCCAGTTGATGAATGCGGGCACGGGAGCTGTGATTCCGAACCCGGCAAGTTCAGAAGCGGCGGTGGCGGCGGCCGCGGCCGCCGCGTCTCTTGCGAACGCCACCGCCGTCGGCAAGGTGGTGTCCCCTCGCTGCCCCCAACCCGCCCCCGGCATGATCCTGCATCCAGCGTTGCGGGAATTGGGCAGAGCGCAAGGACTCATACCAGCAGCAACAAGTAAGTAAAAAAATATAATTTTTTTTATCGATTTTTCACATTTTCTGCTTTTTTTACTCCCAGATAAAAATAAATTATTATTAATTTATCCTGAGCTTTAAAAATAACAGAGACTTCGGGCCTCATTTGTGTACTAATTGGATTAAGGGCTTTCTGGAGGTAATCCTGGAAATAATGTTTTGTAGAGTTTTAAGTATTTTCGTCCAATTAAGACCTTGATTGGATTAAAACTTTGCTGTTGCTATTTTCATATCTTTCATTTGCAAGCAAAAGTTTCTCTCTTCAAATTTGTCAGTGAAAAATATGATAAATCAGATTTTCTCTAAATTGGTGAGATAAATATTTTAATTTATTTCAAAATTGAATTGCTTAATTAAATTAATTGAAGAAAATTTGAATCTTATAGGAATTGTTCTTTTGTTCAGTGTTTCGTGGCGCCTCGATATTGAGCAGAGTGCGACCAACAATCCCCATCCCTGGCACAAGAGGCGCATCCTCGCCAGCGCCGAAACGCTCTATCCTCACCCTTCTGGGCAGAGTGGGCAGAAACCCTGGCACGGGGGTCGACGAGAATGGACTTGAGACTGGCGACGATTCTGGGGCTGCGGCGGCGGCAGCGGCGGCGGCCGCCGTTTATGGCCTCTACGATGGCTACGCGGCAGCACCAGGGTGAGTTCATTTTCGATTTGAAAATTAATCCAAATCTGTTAATTAAGTGTTAAAAAACTCATTAAATTAAAAATAATGACTAATGACAGCATTAAAATTTATAAAAAAAAAACAAAATTGTTCAGATTAACCATTAATTAAGTTGAATTCTTGGGCATTGTAAATAAAACTAAAATTTAAACTAAATTTTAAATCGGCTCTGAATTAAAGACTTGTCAAATGTACAAACGAATTACATATTTCTGATCACAATATTAAGCAGCTTCAAATAACATTCAAATAAATTTAAGGAGAGTCTTCTGCGCTATAAATTTTGCTAAAATTTAATGCGTAATTTAACGAGTTAGAAAAATCAAGTATGTGAGAGAATTGGGGTTCGCTTGCATTTTTGGCCCACCTAATTTTGTATCCTGACAGCAACTATGGGCTGCAATTAAGCATTAGCCTGATTTAACAATGTCAGATGCCCCCAGATGACACAGAACGACTTATTTCATGGATCTCAAATGTTGACTGCAAGAAAATTTGATTGGAAATTGGAATTATTTGTAATTTTAATAATAATCTGAACTAAACTTGACCTTAAATACAAAGTAATGAACATTTAATTACGGGATTTTTGACATTCTAATTGGTATAAGAGACTTCCCTGTTGAGGGATAATTGGCAATATCATATTTCCAATTTTAAATTTAGAGAGAGACCTTGGCATCGACGAAATTTGATCTGAATTAACCAAGCAGGCGAATTTCTTTTATGCCTTACTCTTCCCTTTTTGGCCACGAGTTTTTTTTTTGCCTTGGAAAGGTATCAGTTTCGCCTTTGGAGAGGCGAAAGCAAATGATGAAATGCGAGCTCATTTGGCTCGGCTCTGCAGAAAGCGTCTCTCTGCCAAAGAAAAGAAAGGGATGGGGGCGGACGGAATCTGCTGTGCGACCACGCGGTGATGAACGAGTGTTTGCCTTTTACCGCGAGCGAAAAAAAGCAAAGTGTGTACACAGAAAAGTAAAAGTTGAATGAAGTTTGGTTAGGCAATTTGCCGGAGAGGAAAGTTGGGCAGGTTGCATACAAGTGGAGGCAAGGGGCGCAGCCGTTACCGCCGGAATTCGCAGATGTTTAATTGAATTAGCCGACAACAATGGCTGCCTCGAACAAGCGCAGGTTTCATAACTCGCCAAGGTGCCGACACTAGGGGCGGACCACCCTTAGTCCGAAAGAAAATAATCATAAGAAAAACCTGATATATATATGTATTGGGAATTTAGGATGGATTTTTAAAATGGAACATGCAAATTGCATTAATGAAATAAAAAGTTTTTAACAATATATTCTTGTCAAAAGATAACTTAAGTGTACTGCTAGGCCCAAATATTCCTTTTAATTGTGGTTTTGTAATATAATAAAATCATAAAATTTACCCTCTTTTTCACCCACTTTTTTACACCTAATGGCACTAATTTTGAAACGTAATATGTTTTGAAAAGTAAAATTTAACTCTAAATCACAAAAAAAATGTACAATTAATCCCCCCGATTTTGCTTCTTTCACATTTTTGAAAAATAAATATTTTTTTTAATATCAGAATAAGGGGTTGCTGTTTCGAAACAAAAATCTCTTATTTTTCCAAAGTCTACAAAATGAAAAAAATTTCATTCACAAACCAAGACAAAAGACCACATTTATTTCTGGATAGATTAAAAATAAAATTATAACTTCCACCGAAAACTATTTTGCACTTTATACTTTTAATAATAATAAATCCATTCAAATTTTTGCATTTAAACAATTTCAAAACCCCCTATTTATTTAGTTATTTAGGCCAAATTCCGGCTACCCCTTCATTACCGCGCACGCGATTGATTCTTCGAGGGAAGCAGACAGGGTGTTATCGGCTCGGAAAAAGAATGCGTTTCTCTTCGCCCAAGAACGAAAGAAGTTTATTCCGAGAGATGTTCCTTCCATGTGTGTACAAACTTGAGGTGGATTTAATGGGATTGCGAGATAAGACGCGGCTGGTGCTGGGCGAGGGTGAGACGCGCTTCACTTTTATAGATTCGGCTGGAAAATGCGCGCTGCTTTCCTCGCCTGCCGCCGCTCTGCCATGATGGATTTGCAAAGTTGCATGTACGCGCCGCTATCGGGCCAAAGAGAGAAGAGAGCAGCGCGCCGAGCAACAAAATAATATATATTCACCACTGATCGATTCTCCCTCGCCGTCCAACCAGCCTGTTTTGATTTAATAAAGTGATCCAATATTTGCGGAAAATATGCCGAGTTTTTGCGACAAAACACCATCACTCTCCTTCCTGCGCTCGGCTTTATTACATACCTTTTTTGTTCAGCAGTCAATTAAACCGTTGCTTGTTTTGTGCAAATGAGGACACGGCCAATCAAAAAGTTTGAAGGAAAGCAGGTTGTGTTGAATGTTATCCTGGGCAGGGCAACAAGGGAAAATTGATGGGCTAATTTCCATATAAATGAAATTTACCGCAAACGCAACACTCGTTTCGTCACAAAATTTATCAACACTGTGTCATAAAAATCCATTTTCAGCTTAAAAATAAACCAGAAATAGGAAGGGAAAAATTCAACAAAACAAAATATTAATTTATCGCCAAAGAAACTAACCTTTTCTAACCAAAAATATAATAGAAAATTTTGGTACATTTCACTGGAAAAAAGGTCTATTGATTGTTATTTAGCTTCATCCAATAAAAAAAATTGACAAGAATGATTTTTTTTTCATGCTTATTTTTCAATTGTAAAACATTTTAACATAAATTAATCTTTTTTCTCAATAATTTCTGTAATTAAGTTGAAGTACAAAATTAGTTGGTTTTGCTATAATATTGTGTCATTTTTCAACCACTTCCGTGGTCCATGCTAAAAGACAAAGCATCAAAATTTAAGAACTTTGAGTATTTGAACCGCAAATTTTACAATTTTTAAATGTTTTGATTTGATAATTAACCTAATTTTGTCAGAAAAGTGGAAAAAGACATTATTTAAAAATCTTCTTTATTATATATTTTAATTTATCCCAATATTAAAATATCAAAATCTGTTTTTCTTTTCTTTGTAAACTTTAATTTCCACTATTTTGGCTTAATTGCCCTTAATTTGAACTGTCAGTCAAGTTTTGGATTACGGCAATTCGTAAGAAAAGCTCATCCTCGCAAATTGCGTAAATCTCCATTAAGAGCGAGTCACTAGTTCTCCGCCATAAACGTGAGAGACGCCACAGCTGGCACCACTTCTGACATTTTTGCTAAATTCCGTCTTTCCGCTGCCAGCCCGTGACGTGCTCGCCCACCGCCGCTTTTTTACGACAAGAAAGAAAGAAAGAAAGCTCTTTTGCCGTACCAAGGGAATTTTGCCGATTGAAATTTCGCGTCCCCGCGGGGTTCGTCAAGAGCGAATCTCGCTCGACTGCCATTTTTTATCTGCTCACCTGCTTTATTTCATATCTGCATACGCGCCGTGTGTTTGTTTTTTTTCACATCTGGCGCGGCTCTTTTTCCATCTCGGTGCCAACATCATAGCCATATTGCAACCCTTAAATTTTGCTCATTCATTATTTACATAATTTGTTTTTAAGTTTGCTTATTATAATTATTTAAAATAAATCTTTTTATAACCTCCTCTTTTAAATAGGGTTTAAATTATACAACAAAACAGTAAAAAAATATCAGCATGAATTTTACTTTTATTTTGAAATTCTTTTGTAGATCCATATTTTCAAGAAGTCAATTTTTTTATTAATATGTAAAAATTAAATCTATCAAGGAATATAGTATGTCAGCCTGTATGGAATGTAATTAATTCAATTTCATTTCATGATAATAAATTAAAACTGATTCAACGATTGTGTGTTAAGTAAATCGAGAATTATGCACTTTTCAATTGTCTGGTACTTATTCATTTTCATAAATCCTCTGCTTTACCTATTTTTTCTGGGAAAATTTTGGTTGAAAATTTTTATCAATTATGTAAAATTATTTTTAATTTTCAGAAGTGAAAACTCTGGATTAATAATAAAAAAATTATACAATCCATTCGTATTCATCGATTGTAATAAACAAAACAAAACTTTATATAATTATTTTGAGCATTGATCTATCAGCGTGTAAATCCATAAAATTTAAAATTAATTTTTTTTCTCTTTGTTCAGAGTGAACGTTTAAAATTAGTTAAATCCTCACAGTTCCGTTTTGTAGAAAAAGAACAAACTGTCGAGTTAAGTAAACAGATGGTCTCTCGGCAGTAAAAAGAGCAACAAAATATCGAAAGGGTCGCGTTTGTGTCAGCAGAAAAGAAATGAGATCTGGCGCATTTAATTGTTGATGTGGAGGGAGCTCTTGGCCTGACGGATGGATTTTCCGGGAGCCGGCGCGCGTTTGTTGTAAAAGAGCCAAGCAAGAATTTCCAATAGTAAAAGAGTGGAATGCCAGTCCTGAGCTCAATATGGGAGCTCACTAAATTATGGCTGCATTACTGCCACTGGTGCATCGCGTAATTTCGCACCGTTCCATTTCATTTGTGCGAGTGGAAATAAAATTTCTTCAATAAAAAGCAGAATGCCCTCTGACGTCGATTAAATATCCTCTTGACTGATTTCATCCTTTTATTAAATGAAGCTGATGATGAATGTCCTCTCTCCGTCTCTTAACTTTTATCTCCGCCCTCAAAAGTTTTCAAGCATCTCTTCAGCAGCGCTCATCTTCATTACAAATTATTCCGCGAAGACTTCTCTTGATTCGATTAATTCTTCTTGATCATTTTTGCAGATAGATTGCTCCGTTTGTATTTACGATTGACCTTTATTAAAATGATAAGTATGAAATATTATCAGAATCGTTTAAGGATTCAATCATTTATTATTTTATTTTGTTGTTGTCTTTTAAATGTTAAACTTTATCTATCCACAAAATGCTTTAAAAATCGACTCTTTAAAACAGAAAATTTTCAGAGGAACCTAAGGACAGATTACCATTGCTACAATTAATAGACTCAGAAAAATAATTATTTCAAATCATGGAATTAACTTTAAATTAGATTAAATTTAATATCATTTTATGAATTCCAACACTTTTCCGCAGCTAGAAAATTGAAAAACTTTATGACAAAAAATTTAAGTCGTTGAACTATCAAAACTTTTTTCAAAGGATAAAGCCCATATTCTTCACTTTCCTGATTGTCTTCTCATGTGCCAATTTCTTCAATTAAATGTTTGTCTTTGACCATTTTTATTAATATTCGCATCTTTTAAACCTCTTTTGACATCCCGAACAAATCAATTTAACTCAATAGGCTTCAAAGCTCTGGAAAGAACACGAGACGAGCTTTTGTTGCTCACCCCTTGTGAAACGAATTGCGCTGTCCTTGCGAGGTGCCGTTAATTAATTGATGAGATCCGCCTTTCTGCCGGCGACTAATTAATCGGGAGGAGTGCGCGCCCTGTTGAATAATAAAAAGTGTAATTGAATTGGCTGTTTGGCGATTCCTTTTGTGCGGTCGTTTTTGCACAAAGGCAGACAGGACGGAGAGAACCACCGCGTGCTGCGGCCCAATGTCGGCGCATAAAATTGGCTTGGCCCGCTGACAATTTATCCGTTTGCCGTCGCCCGCCACTGCCACCGCCGAGTGTATGTACCAAAACACACATACACACGACGCGCACTGTTTGTCTCCGTTAATGGAAATTGATGGTCTGCCGCTAACGGATCCTAAATCTCGATCGTTAATCGATCTTCATTTTATCTATGGATTTATAAATTAGTTTAAGAAATTGTTAATCAAAATAAAATTTTTAGGCCATATGGATGTCTCTTTTAAATTATTATTTTATTTATAATTTTTTTATTAATTTTTTAACAAAATTTAGTAATAATATAGCTATTTATAATTTACGCATTGAGGGTCTTTTTTTAATTAATCTCTTAAAAAATAGAACGTTTAAACATGTGGTCCAACGTAACTTGAAACTATGAAAATGCATAATTCTAAAAAGTAAGCTTTGAAGTGTCGATTACCATTGTCTACTTTCGCCCTATAAAAATTTATCAATCAATTATTGACAAAGTTAATTAAGTTTGAAAATGTTATAACAAAATATCATTTTAATCTGAGAAAATTTTCAAAACAGTAAAAAAAAAAATTAATTCATTATTATTACTATTTTGGCCTGAAGCTAAAATAAAATTCTATACCACCAATATTTCCTACAAGAAGTACTGGATAAATTTTATCTTTTACAAAGCTTTTGTTAATATTTGAGAATTCGTTGGATTTTAGAAGGTAAGAATTTCCAAAATCAATTAGGTTGTTAAAAAAGAAAAACGGATTGAAGTGAAAGGATTCGACCCTCGAGATAAACAAAACCAAGTCATTTCATTTGTATATTGTAAAAATATTATAAATTTTTTATTTTTCATTTATAGCAAGATTATTTTGATCTTCATGTATGCTTTTCTAGCACCCATCAATGCCAAAAAATTGCAAAATTCTGTTCGATCTTGCCTTTCCTCGAACCGACAGAATTTTTGAACGCATGAAATTTGCATAAAAAAAAGAAGCGCCCAGTGCAAAAAACACGTCTGAAAATGAAAACGAAATTTTGTGCGCCTGTCAAAATTAATAATCCCTAATCCCCGTAGTAACTTGGTTGGGCAAATAGCAAATGCGGATGTTGCACGGGACAGGGCGACAGGTAGTTTAATTGGCAAAAGCTTCATTTCGCATTCAGTTTTGTCAAATTGGACAGGGATCGTACGAATTGACGGGGCAAAAAGAAGTCCTGTCGCGAGTCTCTTTTTTGGCTAGTGTTTCCCCAGGGTGGGCACTTTTCGGCAGTGAGAGTGAGAGAGAGGGAATCGGTAAACAAAGTGTAGTTGGTGGAAAGCATCTCCGGAGGCAGCGGATTTAGCTAAAAGGGAATTGGGAAGCAGCAATCCCCTGATTAACGCGCACACGCTGCTGAGCTAATTGAAAAAAATAAGGCAGGCAAGAAAAAGTAGAAGAACAAGTTTCTTGCTGGAATCCCACTATAGTCCTTATTCATAATTCAGCAAGCAACTTCCTCCTCCTCCTTCTTCTCTTTTGGAGTTAATGCGAGAAGATCAGTTTTAATTTATATTCCCTCTCATCAACAGCAGTGCGGCTGCTTTTCACACCAAAGTGCTTTCAAACTGCACTAGCGCTTCTATTTATATACACGGTTTGCGATCCTTAATCACACAAACTCTGAAGAGTGATAAATGCCACAGGCACTAAAGGAATATGATTTTATACTGCTCTATTTTAAACATGCTATCTTTATATTTATTTTTACAAGGATTGAATAAACTATGCTAGGATCTAAATTACAAATATTTACATTTTGTAGCTTTTTTCTTCAAATTTGCAGCTATAAATTATAAATTTATTAATTAATTTCTTATTTACGGAAATAAATGTGAATTGAGAGGAAAAATTTGATAAATTCTTTTTGGATTAATTACAATGATTCTTGATGAAAGACTAAAATTATCATTTTTATTATTAATATCATTTCATCAATTATGATTTATTTTTCCCGTTGTTTATACTTACAAATGAGGATACGGGAAAAGAGAAGGGTTTATGTTTATAAGTAGCAGATTTCTGCTACATGGATGGATGAAAAGAATCTATATTGTTTTTTTTTTAGTTTTATAAGTAAGTTAAAATCAGAAATTGTAGTAAAATAAATAAGCTAAAATTTTAATTTTTTTTATTATTTGTAAATTATTAATTATTAATTTTTCTTTAAGTTTTTTCTCTCAATATTTTCAATCATATTAAATTTTAAACTTTTCCTCCTCAAACTTATAGAAGTCTCACGATGGTTAAACAATCATGATCAGTACAATTTACAGTTCAGTTGTAGGATGTATGTACTTATTTATATTATTCTAAATTTATTTTATTGCTAATGTTATTAAAAAGTACAAATTATGATCTAATTTAAAATTTTGAAATAAATCAGTATATCAACGCAAAAATAGAACTTTGTAAAACATATTTTAATATGGAACATATGGAACATTTCAATTCATACAAGTAAAATTTGAAAAGAAAACTTATACAAGCTAGAAAATTAAATAAAAAATTTCTTTATTTATACACTTATTATTTTTTAATTATTAAAAAATCATATTTTTTTTCTTCAGGTATGGTCTATTGGAGGACTACACTAACGGCGCAGGACTGAGCGAAGACGTTGAGGACATGTCCCAGGATTCGGTAAACGGCGCCGGTGAGTCTTGATTGCATCATTCTTTTCCCTCGCGTTTGCCTTTTTCCACGAAATAATTGAGATTCTTGGCACATACCTGCTCTTTTCTTTTGCACCGATCTCTATTTCGGACTGGGGATGGTCATTAAATTTTAACGCCTTTCAATACAAGGGGCTCCATTGCCAAATGAAGTTCGATTTTTATCCGAGCATCATAATATACTTAGCCCGTCCAACGTTTATATTCCCTTCGCACACTCACCTTGCTGACGGAGAGACTTTTGGGTACAAAATTTTATGATTGTCGTAAAATTCGTATCTCGGCCACCGCATTATCATATTCCTCCCTTCAAAGATAAAGAGCTAATGTAAGTTGCGTTAAAAGAAAAAAAAACTAGAGGCAGGTTTACCACAGCGTTATCTTCTTTTTTACCTCCCTGTGTGCAAAAAGCCAGACTGGCACTAATTACACCTTGGCTGCATCGATTATTGATTAGCAACCTTTAGTAAAATGAACACAAAAAACACCCCCCACCGGTTGGTTTTGGTGAGCGAAGTTTTACAACAGACAAACAGCAAACGACCAAGTTGTTTGCGGTCGGAAAGTTTTTCGTCGGCAAATTGATGCTTTCCACCACCACAATGACGGAATAAGAAGACGGGAGTTTTGCCAATTAGGTAAAAGCTCGCGTCAGTTACACGCAACACACCGCTAAAGGCAACATACAACAATTGCACTTTCCAGGCTTGGCCGTTAATTAAACTTTTGTTATTTGAAAGAAAAGGGACAGGCCATTTATTTTTCCTGATTGATTGTTAGTTTGAACTTCGTTCACTCTCGCTTTTAATTAAAAAGTTGAATGAAAATGATTGGCAGGTTATAAATGTATATCTCAGAAAATTATGAAATCTATAAATATTTTTTGCAACCACTAAAAAATACGCTATGCAAATTTTCCTTTCTGGGTCATAATTTATTTACGTCCAATTTACCCCTGCGGTAATTAAAAGTCGCTGCTAAAATGTGTCAAGTGTTGTTTGAAAACTTTTTACACTCAGGGGCGCATGTCAGGAAACGCACCCTCCGTCTGATTAGGCTCCGTGTAATTACCACAAAGCGTGCTGCACATAACCATAATTCGCCGCTAACTATGAATTCGCTCGTAAAACGCAGCACTTTCTTTCGCGAGAAAATTAAGGGGCGTCTTGAGACGTCTCTCCCCCCCCCACCTTGTGTTTCGCGTGCCGACTCGCCATTAAGGCGCCGCTAATTCGTCAGTGGTATGCACTCGTTTTGCACCGACATACACGCGAAATTAAGCCCGACTGTTAATGAAAGAAAAGTCTCTAACGAGAGTCTCGCGCCTCTCGGCTCATTTGCCTGCGGCCCTAATTGGACTTGTTGGTCGCGAAATCATCGGTTCTCAGTCAGCAAAAGCCAAAAGAAAAGAAGAGCCCTGGGATGGGAATTATAGTTTGTAGTCCTTTATTATTATTTGAAATTAGGAGTTCAGATAATGTCAAATATCCAGAAATTATACAATTTTGAGTCGATCTTCTATTTTTTTTTTCAATTGCGCGAGTAAACAAATTCACACAAAAATTCAAAAATAAAATTTGTGCTTTGAAGGGATGGGAAAACTTGAGGATCATAACTTTTTGACCTACAATTCTTTGAAATTAACTTGAGCTACTAAGTCAATTTTTCAGAATAGTCTGCCAGAGATTTTTACACGCTGATTTTTTTCTTTAACGCTTGTTCCTTCTGAAATGAAAGCATTGTGTGATTTGGGCAAAACCAAAACTTTAATAAATAAATCATAGTAGGCCATAATACAACTTAAGATATAAAAAAATTTTATTATTAGTTATTTATACAAATAGTCAAAACAAAAGCTGGTTTTTATAATTTTTTAATTCCAATTTCAACGAGAAAAATCTGACAATATCAAACAATTTCTAGCTCTGAAAGTATTTTATCGTTCAACCCCGAAAAAATGACTCCAATTCTCATCCCTGGGGGCTGCACTTGTGCGGATGGGTATTAATGCTCGCTGGAAATAAATGTGTTTTGCCTTCTTAATGTACTACACTCCATTTATTTTATTTTTCTCACCCCTCTAGGTGATTGATTGTCTCTTTTCCAGTTGCCAATATACGCATCGGATTTATTTATCTCGCTGCGAAGCACTTGGATGATTGCTCGATAATATTAGGGCGATGAGTAATTAAAAATTTTGCGATCAATTCCAGGTGTCTTGTTGGTCGTGCGCAATAAGCAAAAGCCTTTCATCCGATGTGTTCGGTGGATGAAAACACGCGCACCCCACTCGTTGAGAGTTCATTACTTGCGTCGCTTTTTACTTGCTTACAAGACTCATGGGAAATTTGGCCGACCGGCAGCTCTGGTAGGATTTGGGCAAAACGGCAGCACGCAAACTCATCACAAAACCGTTCAATTTTTTTTAGGAACGGTCTAACTTTTAATAAATTTATTTAATTTTTAATTTTCTGTTATTTTTATAATAGAAATATACATTTTACGATGTCTTAACTAGTTGATTAAATAATTATAAAAAATTATTAAATATTACACTTAGCAAATTAAAAATATTTCTTTCTCCATCAACTGGTTAATATTTATATATGCAAGCAGAAATAAAAATTACATTTTACGACAACAACACTTATTGAAACCGATCAATGCATGAATAAATAATGCCTTTACTGTTCATCACAGTTATGCTACTGCCATTACAATTATGTACAATACAAACGTAAATAAAATTATGGCGAAACATACAGTTATTTACATTCACAAATCTGAGCTACTTCTTAAGTATTAAAAATATTTGTTCTACATTTAAATAAATGATAAAGACACCGATTTTTTTCGTCGCACTTTTCACAAAACAGTTACAGTCTTCTTGCGCTTTAACATGATAATCTTTAGTTTTGCAAAACAAGAAATGGAATCCGTCCGTGGCGTACTTTGCATAAACGTGTCTCTTCTCAACAAAAAGCCTGTTTCCAATTTTTATAGCAGCAATATTTTTAAATTCCCGTTCGATTTCAATTTATTTTAACAAGAAATTATCCTTAAGTTTTTCCACATTTGAAACTTCCTGATTTGCCGGTCGGACTACCGCCGAGAAATCTCATGAATTATGGCTGCAGCCTCAAAATGAAGAGCAGGAACGAAACGTTTGAATAATTTAAGGCTCTCTAAATTTTACTGTTTATTCCTCATAATGTAAATTGTTTATAAATAATGACATTTTGCAGCCATAAGATAGAAATAAAGCTCATATATTGTGTAACAAGACGAACTGATTCATTTTCCGCCCTCCCATTACAACGCGCAGAGATATTGCCTCCCACGCTGTGACTTTGCGAAATGTTGTACATGGGTCGACCAATTTTTCACGCGTCAAGCCACGCAGAAATTTTTATCATGATACATTTCTCGCGCGCTCTCGTACATATTCATCTGCAAATAATTTGCATGCCTGAACACCGCACCCAACCGTGCTTATGGTAAAAAAACGTCACGGTGGCAAAGTATTTCATTTTATTTTTATTAACGGATTTATTAAAAGTTTTGTGCTTGTCCTTAAGAAAAACGCCCATCTACTTTTAGAGTTGCTAAAGATAATTTAAGTGTATGCAAATTTTAATATAATAACCTTACAAATTTTCAATTTCTTTTTGCGTTGCGCACAATTAAGATAATTCTGTTCTAATTTTTTTCTTATATATATATTTTCATTTATTTCGAGATTATTTGAAACAGTTTTTGTATTTAATTTAATTGTTTAAAAAAATTCTAAGTTCCATTTTTATAGAAAATATTTCATTTTATTTGCCCCACAAGTGCAGAAGCTTCCATGTTATGATCAACATCTTTTTACACCTCTTGAAATATTAAAACCATTTTCTACATTATTATTATAATTACTGTTGACCAGCTAATTGATTTAATTATTTTTATATTCCCTACTCTGAACATAGTAATAAAATTTCATACATGTTTAAATTTATAAACAAAGAGAAATTCTTTTAATTAAAAGTTTGAGAAAATGTAAGAAGTTGATTTCAACTTCTCTATAAATAATTCAATAAATTTCCTCTTGGGGAACATATATTCCGGAAATTAAATTAGGCCTTGCTAATTTGTCGACGGTCAGAGAAAGTGAGCGTGATGAATGCTCGCGGGTATCACCATTAGAGGCCCCCATAGAAAGGAACGGGGAAGAAGAAGAAGTCCCTCTAGAGGCCGTAAATCTTGGGGCCATTTTGATTTATGGGCCGATCAAAATTTTATACCACAATAAATGAGCTGCCAATATTTTAACAGGCCGAGGTGTGGCGCGGCGGCTCGTTTGCAATTTATTTCTCTCGTGTGCTTTAAATCCCTTTACCATTGGCTTCGTGTCAATTCGCGGCGGCGAAATAGGAGAGAAGACGGTGGCATAGCTCGCAGGCGTAATGATGCTTACTGCTCGCCTGCCTTCCTTGGCACGCGCTTTTCTTTTCTAGTTTTCTCTCTCTCGGAAACGCCTGCTGCTGCTGAGGTCTTTTCTTCTTCTCACATTTTTTCCTCGCCTCTCTCCACCGCCACCGGCTGCTCTCGGAATAATTCACTATTGATTAATTCTGTCGACGCTCATTTTGCTAGTTATTAAAGTTGGCGAAAAATTGGCAATGCCCCGAATCTGATTTGTTTGCAAATTTCGCCTTATGAATAATTCAGAAACAAAATGCGTAGAACGATGCATTTTTTAATTAAAAATCACTCTTGGGAATGCATATATTAATCAATAATCAGAGTAATTTGAAAAGGTAAATTGAATATTCCATAAAATTTTCTGATTCTACGCCTGAAACGAAATTAAAATACTCCATTTGCATTGATGCTCATAAGTGGATGAACTTAAAATTAAAGATTTAGCGATCCTCTGATAATTTAATTTAGAATACACATAAATAGAATTTCCAACAATGCATGAAATTGAGAAAAA